GGGCTTACCTGGGGGCGGGGCTTGCGTCTGCCTGGGGAGCGGAGAATGGGGCGGGGCTTAGTGGTCCCCTGCGGGGCGTGGCCTGGGTAAGTTGGGGCGGGGCTGCAGGTGTGTGTACACACGCGTGTACATACGCACACCATGCAGGTTGTGCGTGTGGGTCTGTGTACACGCACGGAAGTTGTGCGTGGGTACGTGTACATGCAAACGTGCGTACACGTAAGTCGTGCAGGGGTAGAGGTACACACCGGCACTTACCTAAGTGGTGTGTGAGTACACACGCACATACACATATAACTTGTGCGTGGGTATGTGTACATGCAAACGTGTGTACACGCATAAGTTGTGCATGGGTAGAGGTACACACCCGTATATACCTAAGTAGTGTGTGGGTCTGTGTACACGCATATGTACATACATAACTTGCGCATGGGCATGTGTACACACACGTATGCACATGCACACACAAGTATGGGTGTGGGTATGTATGCCCACACACACATACATGCACACATAAGTTGTGTGTGGCTATGTACACATACATGCACACATAAGTTGTGTGTGGCTGTGTGCGCACATACATGTGCACATAAGTTGTGTGTGGCTGTGTACACACATGCACACGTAAGTTGTGTGTAGCTATGTACACACACACATGCACACATAAGTTGTGTGTAGCTATGTACACACACATGCACACGTAAGTTGTGCGTAGCTATGTACACACACATGCACACATAAGTTGTGTGTGGCTATGTGCACAGACACATACTTACATGCACACATAAGTTGTGTGTGGCTATGTGCGCACACACACACGAGTTGTACTTGTATGGTACAGACAGACAAGGTTCTTTGGGTAAATCTGATATCTTTTATTTGACTTGTATACACACGTGCACACACATGCACACGCCGCATGCACACACATGCACACTCATAGGAAAGCTGGGCAGGACGGGACCTCCCGAGGTCCCCTAGTCCAGCCCTGGGTTCAAGGCACGACCATCCCCGACGAACCCATCCCGGTCCCGTGTCCGTCCCGCCCGCTCTTGGAAATGTCTGGGGATGGAGGCGGGGGCCTGCTCCCGGGCAGCGCCAGGACCTTCCTCTTCCTCTTCCTCTCCAGCCTCAGTTTCCCCTGCTGCAGCTTGGGGCCATTGCTAGTCCTGCCCCCTGTGGCCATGGGGAAAAGCCCATGTGCATCTTTATCATCGCCCCGCAGATATTTGAAGGCTGTTATCCAACCCCCACCCCTGCACGCACACCTATATACACACACAAGGTAGACATACCATATATGTTAGTTATAGGTGACCATATTTCCAGGTCCAAAAAAGAGGACACCTGTCGGGAGGGCACTCACATGCACGGTGCCCCTCACTCCCGACCTGCAGCCCCCTGCCCTGCTGCCCAAGCAGCTCCCACATTGCACGCACCCACTCTCTCTCTCTCTCACACACACACACACACTCACTCACTCTCCCCTGGCTTGCTGGAGCCACGTGGGGAGCACGTGCCTCCCAACAGCCAGTTGCCTTGCCCACTGCTCCCAGCCCCAAGCAGCTGGCCGGGGAGAGCAGAAAACCTGGACATTTGCTCTTATTTCAAAAACCCGCCCAGACACAGCACAGGGGTCCAAAGAAAGAGACCTGGACATATGGTATGGTAACCCTAACATATGCACGCGTGGGTACACACACATACACATATAACTGCATTAAATGTAATCAGCAGAGAAAATAATTGCCAGGATCAGGACGGTGCCGCGAGTATTCAGCAACATGGGTGTGGAAAAGTGCAACTTTTGAGTTGCTTGCTTCATTTCCTAATGGCCCTTTTGCAAAGCTAAAGTATATTTGAAATAGGAAAGGTTGTTAATCCGCTGCAGCGGTAAATCTGTTTGCAAGGAGTCCTGACTATGAAAGGTAGGAGCTGCAGCAGCGCAGGACTGAGGAGCACCAGGAAGAGCTGGATGTGAATCTGGAATAGCAGGAGTTGCTGCATGTTACGAAAGGGAGGAGCATTCGCAAAGCCGTGTGGGTATTGGCATGTGAAATGACAGGGGGTGTTGCAGCATAGGAGCGAAGGTGTACATGTGTGGATGCGAGGGGTTGGGATAGCTGTGGCTTGCGAAGGTCTGGGTGGAGCTGTATTGACCGAGGTAAGGGGTTGGAGCGGGATGCGGCAAAATTGGAATAGCAGAGGGTGCCAGAACAACCGTGTCTCAAAGGATCGGCCTGTTGTGAAACCTGGAGTTGGGAGTGGGACTTGACACCTTTGTAGAAGGACCTTTTTTGAATAACCAGCATGGTTTAAAAGTAAGAGGAGGCTTTTCTTTTAAATGTGTTGAGTTTAGACTTCGTAGCAGTAGAGGCACTGAGAGCATTGGCAGGGGATGGACGCAGCAATTAAATGCATAAGCGTCCCTTGCCGTTGGCTACAATCCCTGAGTAGAGCCATGAAGAGCTATTTACTGCATTACAACTATACCAAATGGCCACACGGCATAAATAATGGTGCAGAGGGCACAGTCCTGCTCCTATTAGAGCTGTATTTGGGATGCAGCTAATTCTTTTTCCATAGGCTACAAGTGAAGAAGATGAACTGCTTTGAAGAGTATAGAGCAGGAAACATGATAACCCATTACCGACCTGGGCTGGGTTTGAACTGGTGAAGTAGGCTGCCTCGAAACAAACATTCGGGATGTTTCCTGCCATTGCATTATCACTGCTAGGATTGCTGGTGTAAGTGTGGGAGATAGCCTGAACAGTACTAGTGGAGTATGGCTGTACGTGCTGTATTAGCCATCAGTGGTTGCTCAAGAAGGAAATCCTGTTTTCCCAGCCTCTCTCTGCTCAATTCAGCCTGTAATTTGTAGCCACAGGTTGTCCATACGAATGGTTGCAACTATTGCAGGCCTGTTCAACAAGCTCTTTTATGGTCTTCACAGCGTCACTGCAGTGTGGATGCCTATCTCATGCCCGGCTCAGATCCAGGAAGCAGAGGGTTTGCAACGGTAGCAATCTACAGGGAAGAGATACCTGCCAAATGTCTTAAATGGTGAACCATGTAAGGTTGCAGATACCATGTGAGATATAAGGGCAAGAAAGGCGTGAGGGTGGCTGCATTGCACCTTATCTAGCAAAGCATTTAGCAGCATTAAATGAGAGAAACCATGGCAGCTCCATGGTCGATATGAGCATGCAGGGGATGCTGCGTAGAGTGGTTGTGGAAGGGACAGCAGGGGTGTTGTGGGGCTGTCCCGGGAAGAGCTATTCCAACGGCCCAGCTGCAACGCCAAAACTTTTTTAAACATCATATCTACCCAAAGACCCTTGTCTGCCTATGTCCTCAGACCAACACGGCTACAATCAACAACCCTTTCCCTTTGATAGCTTTCTCTGGCCCAGTTTATCTTTCCTTCTGTAATCCTGCTCTGATCGTTAGGAATCCAGTAACCTCTTCCATGCCAAAATGCTCTTACTTTTCCTTGTACGCAGCAAGCACAAAATCCTCCAGCATAGACAAGGCTACTGATGAACTGGTGAATTCCTATTACTTCAAGGAGGTAAAAAGTGCAGAGCTATGTCAATGATCAGAAGCGGGCTGCATTCATGTGGGAGCAGCCGGCATCACCTTGTAGTTGCTACCCAGTTGTTTAGTTTGGTACCTCTTATGATGAACTTGGCTTCTCATTTTGTGGGAATTTTAAAGCTTTAACAGCAGCCTAAAAGTTTTGAAACAAACCTGCCTTGATACCTGAAGAACGTGAGGATCAGACTTTCAGAAAGTATGAAAGCGTGTTCCCGGGGGGTGCTGGGTCGTTGGGGTTGTCAGACTGAACTGATGGATGAGGCGGAACGAGGTGGACATGGGGAAGCTTGATGTGTCCCCTTAAGCCGGGTAAAGTGCGTGGGGCCTGCTAACCCTGTGCTCATGTTCTCCTGCAGGATGAAAGAGTGGTGGATTCAGGTGGGGCTTCTGAGTGTGCCGCTTCTGGCTGTCTACCTGCACATCCCTCCCCCAAAACTGTCCCCAGCTCTTCACTCATGGAGATCGTCGGGAGGATACTTCACCTACAAGGCCCAGAACATCTTCTACAGAGGTGAGGTTTGCTGGAGCTCTGCATCCTCTGTGGAGCCTCTGGCATGTCCGGTCAGTCGGGTAGTCCACAGCCTGTGATTGCCCAGCTCTGCAGGAGGCACATCATCAAACCTCTTTAGTGCCAAAAGTGCCTTGTTGCTCATAGATTTCATAGACATCAGGGCTGGAAGGGACTGCAGAAGATCATCGAGTCCAGCCCCCTGCCTAAAGGGCAGGAAGTCAGCTGGGGTCACAGGATCCCAGCAAGATAAGCATCCAAATGTCTCTTGAAGGCGTTCAATGTAGGTGCTTGAACCACCTCCGGTGGCAGGCTGTTTCAGACCCTGGGGTCTCAGACAGTAAAGAAATTCTTATGTCCAGCCTGAAACGGTCTTGCAGTAGTTTATAACCGTTCGACCTCATCATCCCATGGGGTGCTCTGGTGAACAAACGCTCCCCCAGATCCTGGTGAACACCCCTGATAAACTTATAGGTGGCCACCAGATCACCCCTGAGCCTGCGCTTTTCCAGGCTGAAGAGTCCCATGGTTCTCAGCCTCTCATCATACGGTCTGTTTTCCTGACCTCTGACCATGTGCATGGCTCTCCTCTGGACTCTCTCAGGCTTCTCCACATCCTTTTTGAATTGTGGGGCCCAAAACTAGACGCAGTACTCCAGCTGCGGCCTCACCAAGGCCGAGTACAAGGGGAGAATGATGTCCTGGGATTTGCTTGAGAAGCATCTATGGATGCAAGCCAGCGTTTTGCTTACTTTACTAGCTGCAGCATCGCACTGAAGGCTCATGTTCATCTTGTGGTCCATCATGACCCCCAAGTCCCTTTCATCCATAGTGCTAGGCAGTGTAGCACAGCTGAGCCTATAAGGATGCTGCAGGTTTTTCCTCCCAAGGTGGAGAACCTTGCATTTTTTAGTGTTAAACACCATCAGGTTTTCATCTGCCCATTTCCTGAGCCTGTCCAGGTCAGCCTGGATCGCCTTCCTGTCCTCAGGTGTGGATGCTTTGCCCCAGAGTTTGGTGTTGTCAGCGACCTTGGCCAGTCCGCTTCTGACACCAGTGTCCACATCATTAATGAAGATGTTGAACGATATGGGTCCCAGGACAGAGCCTTGAGGGGACTCCACTGGTCACAGGGCACCACGACGATTGACTTCCGTCAACCACCATTCTCTGGGTCTGACCACAGAGCCAATTCCCCAGCCAGCAGATCGTGGTGGACCCTAGGCTGCAGTTGGTCAGTTTTGCAAACACGTTATCATGGGATACCAGATCAAAGGCTTTTTTGAAGTCAAGATATATGACTTCAATCTCTTCTCCCTTGTCCAGGTGATAGGTCACCTGGTCATAAAAGGAAATAGGATTGGTCAGGCAAGACCTACCCGTAACAAACCCATGCTGCATATCCCTCAGGATGTTGCCATCAGCCAGTCTGTTGACAATGGCCTCTTTAATAATCTTTTCTAAGACCTTCCCCAGGATAGCAGTCAGGCTAATGGGCCTCAAGTTTGCTGGATCCACTTTCCTCCCTTTCTTGAAGATAGGCACCACATTGGCCTTCTTCCAGTCTTCGGGCACTTCACCAGAGCGCCAGGAGCTCTTGAAGATCCGTGCCACGGGCTGGGTTATGATGCTTGCTAGCTCCTTGAGTACCCTGGGGTGTAAACCATCAGGGCCGGCTGACTGGAAGGTATCCAGCCTCTCCAGGTGTTCCTTCATGAGGTCAGCATTGATGGAGGGCAAGGGATCTCCCTCACTCGGGCCTCCCTGTCCCGTCATGGGCATGGGTGTCCCATGGAACTGATGAAAGACCGATGCAAAGTACCCATTTAACGTCAGTTGTCAGTTACCCCATCTGGTTGAGCAGGGGTCCAATGTTGCCCCTGCTTTTCCTCCGGCTCCCCACATATCTGAAAACGGACTTTTTATTGTCCTTGATACTTGTAGCTAGTTGGAGTTCTGTCGCACCCCATTGCTGCTGGGCCTTTAGGCCCTTCTCCGTGGTGGCAGCGCTAAAGATTCACATTCACAGGCAGATGCAAAGAACAGCATCTTGAACTCTGGTGGGAAGGGGGTGTGTAGGAAGCTAGTGGTTAGGCAGGGAGGGGAGACCCCTTATAAGACACACGTTGGGGAGGGGGAAATAGTGAGAAAAGGAGGAATTGAAGAACCCAGAGGGGAGCAAGGAAGAGACGTGTGGGAGACAAGGGGCGGATCAGGGTGAGAGGTGTGTGAAGAGCAAAAAACAAAAATGGTCAAAATTTGAGAGATGCACAAAATGCTTAGGATGGCGGAGGGAGCCGGAGTCAAACGGGGACAGGAGGCAGAGGGGACGGATGGGAAATGGGTGAGATGGCAGAGGTGCTCTCCCTTCAGCATGGCGGGGGCTGGTCTGGAGCTCGGCTGGGCTCCCCCAGGCACGAGCCCAGCGGAAATAGGGAACCTAAAATGAGTCTGAAGCCAACTGGTAGGAAACCCCAATGACACACTTACCTTTGTGTGCGTGGTGGAAGGCAATGCTGTGCTGCTGGAGACACTGCCCTTGCAAACGAGACATAATCGTTACATCCTCCATATCCTTTAAGATCCCAGGGCACTTTTCTCAAGAGCAGCAAGGTTAACCCCACCAGTCTGGCCTGATTCTAGTTGTAATGACCGCTCCACAGCATATACCTGCTCCCCACGACACCGCAGGTATTGTTTGCTTCCTGCCGTATACCTCCGGCTGCTGCTACAGTTCATGCCGGAAGTGGCTGTACATGAATGGCTGGTAAAGCGATCCCGTACTACAGCTCCCGCATCCATTTCAGCATGCCTAGAGCAGGGAGATCCTTACGGAGGAAAGGTGCTGTGGAAACGGAAGAAGACTCTGAGTACCCCTGAGGTTGTGGGTGTACGCAGACAGGTGTGATAGCCTTGAGCGGAGAGCCCAACCGTGGTACTGTCTTGTGCACAATGCAAACTCTCTCCATCCAGTGCCTGGGGAACAAAAGCCCTGGTGACAGGGTTCGTACCCGCTGAGTTTTCTCGGAGTGGCAGAGACTTGAGTTTTTGTGTGTGAGGCTCTACAGATGGGTACTGTGAGGGAGCTCCGTGAATAGCATAGCTGATTATTAGTTAGGCACCAACCGGGTCCTTGTTAGCAGCACTCAGTTGTTGTCAGCATTAGGATCCTGTTACATTCCCCCGCGAAGCTATTTTAAAGGCCTCTTTGGGATGATGGTGCATCTCACTGGTGTCCTGTTCTCCCCCCAGATTCGACGGGTGCAGTTGGCAGCTCTGACATCGTCATTCTCCTGCACGGCTTCCCAACCTCCAGCTACGACTGGTACAAGGTGAGAGGAACAAGCAAGCACAGAGTGGGGACCGTGCGAGTCAAACCAGCCATTTGTGCTTTCCCTGGGAACTTGAGGGAGACCTCCCAGGAGAGAATAAGTGGACGTGTCTGATGGGGGAGAGATTGCAGAATGACGGGACTTCTCCCTTTGTGGTACCACGACCCTTAGACTATGGCAGTGTTTTTGTCCAGCCAAGTTACCTAGCCTCCCCCAATAGTGTGCTATTGCTGTAAAGCTGTGACCATCTCTCTCACTCCTTCCTTCATCTTCTCCCGCTTTTTTCCTGCCTTCGTCTGATGTCCCGTGCCCAAAACACCCTACCCATTTCATGTGCCTTCTTACACTCCCACCTCTCCTGAAAGTCCTTTCTACTCATTAATCCTTCAGTCCTCCCACTCCTGCATTTTTATTCCATGCTTTAAGTGGTCGTTCCTACTTGAAAGCCCCATGTTTGTTTCCATAAATGCACCACTTGAATGTGTAGCTTTCAGGGAAGCACCCTTAGATGCTGGGTTTTGTGAGATCCAAATTCATCTTTGGCTACCCAGGTGGTCCATCTCCTGCTGATGAAGGGTGAGGTGGAGGCTTCTCCTTTGTGACCTATGGGAATATGAATATGTCTAGAGATAACTTTGTAATGGCCTCTGATGGGGAGGGGCTACTGTGTTATCAAAAAAACTATGCTCCCTAACCCTTGAACCTTTTAAATATGCGCCACTGTTTTTTGTTGCAATGAGGTTGGAGCAGGGCAGGAAGGGAGATCACAACCACAGTGACCGAAGAGACGGTGGGCTGAGGTGCACTACCAAGGAATTGCCTTTGGACTATAATTTTTCACATATAACATGCAGCATTTCCCTGCCAAAATAAGCCCCTCCAAATTGGGGTGCGTATTTTAAGTGGGGAAGGTGTAGCTGTTGGCCAAGCACTGTAGCTTATGCCCAAAGCAGCAAGTGAGCTGCTAGTCTTGTCTTGATAAAGCTTGTGATGTGGGAGCAAAACTTTATTTACAGGAACTTATATAAAGAACTATGTAGAGTAAAGAACTAAGTTTTGCTGCTGTCCTTTGCAAGGGTCTGGGGCCCAACCGTGTGTAAGTCCTCCTGGAAGCACAGTGTCCAGGAAGCCTGGCTTTGCAGGAGACAGTCTGGTGCCACGTTCCCAGGAAGACTTCCTCTACATCACACAGTCTGCAATGACTCTGAAAACATTGTTTTTCTATGTTCTGCCTTCCAAAAACAAGGTGCCTGTTTTATTTGGGAGCATACTGTATGCCGGAAAATATGATATCTGCAGAATCAGGTCTTATGGGAGATGGAAGCTCAGGACCAGAGGGCACGCTCTGGTTTGCCAGCCTGGCAAACCCCACTGCAGGAGAGGACAAGTAACTCTTTAGAAGATGCGTTGGCTTCTTCCAGCGGAGAATATCTCCTGCCATTCAGTTTGTGCACACAAAATAGGCACCTAGAGGGGAGCTGTAAGGAATATGGCAGTGTAGAGCTGTCCAGGCTCCAGGGATATGAATGTGGCTGCTTCTGTGGTTGATTTTCCTCTCCCTCCCCACCTCCCTTCCCTGTTCTTTTCACAGATTTGGGAAGGGCTGACTCAGCGGTTTCACAGAGTGATCGCCCTGGATTTTGTGGGATTTGGTTTCAGTGACAAGCCAGTAAGTAGTCCTGACGGATGGGTCTGCAGTTCCTTTCGGAAAATGAATGTTAAGACCAAAGCTCATCCAGACAACTGGAATTGCACAGATGGGTTTGGAAAGATGGCTTTTAGTTAGTCGTGAATGCTGGCATCTGTTCATCTCTCAGGTTGCTTTCAGCCTTTCTCTTGCCTTAAGGCTATTGTTGTTGTATTCATTTTTTCAGAACAGAAAGAAAGATGCGAATTGTTAAATTAAAAGGGTAGAAAAATCAAACGTTGGAAATGGGACACGCTGCAGCCTGCCCAAAGTGCCCATGTTCTCTTGGGATGTTGACTCATCTCCAAAGCATGGTTTGCTCTGCTTGATCTATTAAAGAGACTTGTGGCAGATAAAGTGGTAGCTCCAGGCTACCTGCTTGGGATTACATTAGAGTAGGTGTAGCTTTGCAAACAAATTGCTGAGCAAATTTAAGAGCACTTAGCTCGTCCTCTTGCAAGCGTTTCACACATCACAGATCCTCGGAGGGAGTTTCGTTATCTCCCTTCTGCAGAGGCAAACTGAACCATGTGGAGGGTTCCTTTGGGCACAAAGTAAATTGGCAGGGACTGAGATGAGACCTCAAGCTGTTGGCTTTCAGTTCTGGGCTTGGAGGATGTCTCTGCGTTTGTCTGTGGACATGTGTGTGTCAGACATGGCCAAGTGCTGAATGTGGTTATACAGGGGCTCCCGCTGGCCCATTAAAAAAAACACCCAGTTTGTTTTTAGCTGATGAATGAAGTCACACAACCGTTCTCTCGCTTTGCTTCCTTAACAGCGGCCCCATCGCTATTCCATTTTCGAGCAAGCCAGCATTGTGGAGAGGCTGGTGGGGCACTTGGGCCTGCGAAACCACAGGATCAACCTCCTGTCTCATGACTATGGGGACACGGTCGCGCAGGAGCTCCTCCACAGGTCACTGGAAGCACTAAAGCTCTGAATGCTCTTCGTCGTCCTCTCCTCCTAGGGTCTAATTCCCTGAAGCTAAGTAAAAGTAAATGGTGCAGAGCCCCCTCTTTTCCCCATCCCACATATGGGCATGTTGGCTGGAGGTGGCGGTGGGATGCTGTGCTGATGGGCGCAGATTGATAGAAGGAAGGAAGCTCAGATACGGCTGCCACTGACTTCAGTGGGAGATGAATTCCCAGGTGCAGTAGCTGAGGCCTTGTCTAGCTATTTGCCCCGCTATTTGCTTATCTTGCTTCTCGGCCTTTGGAACCTGGAGGCTTATCAAGGCCATAACAAGCGCATGAGGCAAGCCTTTGTAAGCCAAGAGCTCCTGTCAGTCCCTGGTGACTAGGGCCAGCGTGAAACCCCAGCATATGGTTGTTTGCAGGTCCAAGGACTCTGAGGCAAACACTTTTTGCCCCCGTCAGAAAATATTGCAGCAGGTAGCAATATTTTGCCTTTTGCTCTCTGCTCGGAGTGAGGCAAGTCAGTGGCAGGGGTTTCTAAATGCCCGAACAAGGGTTAAAGTCCTGCGGTTGAGTCATGCGGAGACAGAGGGCCATGGCTATTCCTATTCTTATGGCTGCAGTCCTGTCTCTTGGGAACTTTGCTTCCCAGATCTTGTTTCCTGACATAGCAGCATCACTGTGATCTGTTGCTCGGTCTCTTTGTGGAACCAGCAAGGAATCTAACTCAGCATTTTGGTTTGCTCTCTCCAGGTACGAACATAATAAAACTGGAAGCATCTTGATCAACAGCCTCTGTTTGTCCAATGGAGGTAACCATTCTTGTTCAGAATAACAGGGCATGTGTTGGTGGGTCTCAGCCTGCTTGCCAGTGAATAGGGAACATCTCTAGGGAGGCTGCCGATCGGCCCTTTTGTTGGACGTTTAATCATGGATGCTGAGGACCGAGTGGGCCAGGGTGACTGAGCTCCCCTCTTGTCCCCAGAAAGGTCCCTGGGGGATAGCGCTGAAGCCTGTTGGTGCAGAAGTGAGGAGAAGCTTTCACTGCTTTGTCTCATTTATGCATAGATGGAAGCGTTAGTCTCTGGGGTATGAGGACAGTGCCCTAGACAGCACCAAAAATCACTCATGCCAGGAAAAGTAAATGGCTTGTCATAAACCAGAGGAGGGCTGAGTACCTGGTGCCTGCCTGGGGCATCTGCTATCTGTAGCAAAGGCATCAGCGCCTTCCCTTGCACTGCGCACAAAAATGAATGACAGGACGAAGTGATGAAGCCTGAGACTTAGCGACACCTGCTCAGTATGGTGGTTCCCAGTTGGTTGCAAATGCTTTTGCTGGGGCTGCTTGTGGGGATGGAAGGGGAGAGACTGGGAAATGTCAAAACGCAGCCGTTGTAATGACTGTGTCCGTTCTCTGGAAACTTTCAGGAATTTTCCCAGAAACCCACTACCCCAGGTTCATTCAGAAGGTGAGTGGCTTTTATGTCTAGCTTTACTGAATCGGGACTCCAGCGTCAGGAGCAAGGCTTGTGGGGTCAAGTTAGCATGAGGTGGGACATCTTTTAGAAACACATGAATTCTGCAAGAGCCGGGGGGTGGTTTTCCATCCAAGTTTGTCCAGAGCTAGTGCCCAAATCAGGCAATGGCTGGATCTGTTTCCCATGGAGGGTGGTGGTGGGGAAGTATTTAAGTTATAAAACCAGCCAGAGAATTATAGAAAATGAGGCTGGAAGGGACCTCAGGAGGTCACATCTAGTCCAACCCCCTGCTCTAAGCAGGACCAGCCCCAACTACATCATCCCAGCCAAGGCTTGGTCTAGTTGGGCCTTAGAAACCTCCAAGGATGGAGATTTCACCACCACTCTAGGTAACCCGTTCCAGTGCTTCACCACCCTAGCCAGTGTTTCACCACCATTTCTCTAGGTTTCAGAGATGCGTGATGCTTTCTCTGAAATCACACTTACAACCCCCGCCTCCTGTTCCAGTTTGGCCTCCGGCAGTTTTTCACAGAGAAGTGATTAGCTATGTCGAGCAGAAGGCAGGGTGGCACTTTATCAACTAAGTCAGAGAGGCATAAGCTCATTTTGGCAGATGTTATGAGCAGACATCTGATGAGGCAGGTCATCACCTACAAAAGCGTATGCCTTTCTGAATGAGTCTGCCTCTAAGGTGCCACCTTGCCCTGCCTTTCTGCCTTACCCAGTGATGCCTGCCTTTGTTTGGGGAGAGTCAGCTCCACGCCGTGGCACCTGCTCAGTGAAAACTTAGGAAAGCCCTGTCAGCTTTCACTTCTGTTATGGAGCAAGGGTATGTGCAATCTCTATATGCAAGGGTAACACTGGCAAAACTCAGGTCAGCTTCATTACACTCTTGCTTTGGAAAGCTCTGAGCAGCAGCAGAGGCAGGCAGAGGAGTTATTTCCTGGGGAAGAACCAAAACTGGAGGCTGGAGGAAGGGTAGAATAAAAGACATGTCAACCCTGTTGCAGCAGTTGAATGGCAAGGGAAGGGTACAATAGTGAGACTTTCTTTCTATGACCAGTAGGTTGTGGCTGAGTGGGAATGGGAAGAGGAAATGGTCTTTTTCTTTGTAGTAACAGTCACTAGGGGCTTGGGAGGGAGGGAGATCCAGAGCTATCAGGCACTGATGTGCAAGCCAGAATGCCAGCCCTATTCACATCAGTCGTGGGTGAGCTGTTCATCCCAGGTGCTGCCCCAAGACAGCAAACCCCCCTTCCTCTCCTGAAGCATCAGAAAATTCCCCCATGTTGGCCTCTGGCTTGTAAGCAGCTCGTCATTTCTTCCAAGTCTTGGTCCAAGTGTGTTGGCAGGAGATTCATGTGGGTCAAGAGATCAGTAGGCTGAAGGTGCTTTGTTGCAGCTTGCTAATACCTTTGAGACGTGCAGCAGCACAGTGCATTTACTCGGTGGCAGAGAGGAAATCCTACTCTCGATTCTGTAGAAAGGCTACAGAATGGACGTGGATGCTGGGATTTCTGGAAGAAAGACCCTCTGCGTAGGTGAGCAGCTGCCGTCGTCTGTGCTAGTGACTGTTTACTCCTTTTTCTTCTGGCAAAGCTTCTCAAGGATGGTGGCTTCCTGTCCCCCATTCTCACCCGGCTAATGAACTTCTTCCTGTTCTCCAGAGGGTGAGTTGATGTTGGACTTATTGTATGAGACAAGCCTAGCCTGACAGGGGGATGGAGTAACTGAAACCCAGAAAACACTCCTGCTTGTATCTTTTCAGACACTGCACGGCTAGTGCTCACACGTTCCACCCCGTGCAGGCAGTGGGTCCATGGGCAGTTCATGAATAGAGGCAGATGCACCGTGTTGAGCCACAGTTGAGCGAAATCCCTTTTAACACCCTGGCTTTTTGAAACCCCTTTCCTTCTTTCAAAGCTGCCTTACTTGAGGATATCTGCCAGGTATGACACTGTCCCTTTCCCAAGGGTGACTTCTGGTGCCCCACAAGAAGGTGGTCTACACTTAGCTTCAAATAAGAGTTGCGTCCTGTATTGAAACAGCTTCACAGAGCCATGGAAAATGGGCTGGCAGGGCCTTCAGGAGGTCCAACCCCTAGCTCAGGGCAGAATTTAAACCATCCTCTGTGTCTCCTGAAGTGCTGCAGGGATTTTCATGTGTCTCTGGATATTTCCCCCCCCAGGCTTGGGGCAGTCTTTGGACCATACACACAGCCTTCGCAGGCGGAGTACTGGGACATGTGGACAGCCATCCGGACCAATGATGGAAACCTCGTCGTTGACAGGTGCATTCCTTTAACTTCTCCATTGACCCCTCCTTGTCTGCAGCTGCTTCTCTTGGTGGCCAAGGTTTTCACTGCCAGAAACCCAGCCCTGGATGCATGTAGATGGAGCATGGAGGAGGAAGAGCCGGCAACCCAGTCCCAGCCAAAGTGTGCTGGCCAAATGCTTATTGCACAGTGATTGAGGTCTGAAGGGGAGATGGGCCATGCACTGTTAGGGTGGGCAGTGGCTGTGGAGAGATCACAGTCCACACCGAAGCAGTTTGAAGAGCTGTGCTCTTTTTAGAGGGGCAAAGCAGCACAAATGTCCCCTTGGATGGTGGAAAGCATCCGAGTGTGGTATAGGAGGCAGAAGTGCCCGAGTTCTGTCTCTGCCCCTGGCTTCTGCTGTGGCTTGGGCAAGTTGATTTAAACTACCTGCAAGAGATGCGGAAGGAGTTTATGCTTTTTCTCCTGCTTTCTGATGGGCCGTTTCCTTCAAGATAAGCTGAGAGGTTCATGTTCAGTGCCAAGAATGGTTCTCTCTGCTTGGAGTTTTCCCTTGGAGGATGTGGCAGTGCAGGTTATAGTCCCTCCAGCTCTCGTTTCAACTGGTAAGGGGTGGGAAATGCTCATTATTAACATGAGCAGAGAGGTAGGTGGCCATGCTAGCGTGAAGTCAAGGCAGATTTGCACCTGAGGCAAACCGAATCAGAGACGCGCCGGCTCTTGTGAGCAACGGCTCGCTTATGCACCTCTGATTCAGCAAGTCTATAAGGTGCAAATCTACCCCACCTTTCATTTAACTTGAGCTTTTCTTCCAGCTGTTTGGGTGGGAGCTGAGGCAGATACGCGGCAGTGAAAGGAAACAAGCAGGAGTCAGACACCTGAATGGAAATCACCTCCTTCCTCAGTTCATTGGGTTTCACTTTGATACCTTTTCACACAAACCTGCTCATTGTAGGGAGAGATTTGTAGGAAGATTGTACAAACCCCATGAAAGCCCAACGGCTTCTTTTTCTTCCACGTGGCATCTTCGGCTGCCGCGTCTGTGGAATGGGGCTCATTGCACTCCTTCAGTCCCTTGCCAGCTGCTGTGAGGAGTCGTTAAGCAGTATCTGTAGGGCATCAGTAAGGTATAAAGTGTCCGGTGTGGTGATAGCCTAGAGGAGGCTGTTGAAAGGACCCTGTCACAGTGCTTTTCATACAGAAGACAGGACAAGGTGGCACCTTGGAGACTAACTAGTTCAGAGAGACATGAGCTTTTGCAGGTAGAAACCTACTGTGGCACATACACTGCCGTGAATCCCATCCGTGACTCCTCAGTGGACAACTCAATGCTTTAATGGGAAAATCAGTGCAAAAATCTTTCCTCTAGGATTGAACGGCCGTCGGGCATTTGCCTTCTTCACTCTGCACTATGCTGTCAGAGGATCTCCCTTGCTGGAGGTCAGAAGAACCAGTCATGGCTTTTTTATTTTGTTCTGAAGATGGGCTACGATGCGCGGCCTTTGGCCACGCTGCCACTGGCCGTTTATAGTAGATCTAGCTGCTGCTAGTGGGAGCTGAGCCAACACCAAAAGGAGGAGATAAGAGGATTATGGGATTGATTCAGATGGCTACACTCGCCAAGTCTCCGAACTGAGACCAGCGCAGCCAAGACAAGGCAGAGATGTGCTTTGAAAGCTGGCTCCTACCCTAGAAACCCCGCTCCTATCTCCAGCCTGGTGTTAGACTGCTATGGGCTTTCCCTGGATTCAGTTGTACATCCCTCGTGCAGTCTGCTCGCTAAGCTTATTCAGTGCAGCTGTCCAGGCTCGGAAGGGGCTTTGCAGTCATAACAGCTGCGAACAATTTTAAATGCAAATTTTAGAGCCAGGAGGAAAATGTCGCGGCCTTCAGAAAGCAGTTTCGCAGCCCCGTAGCAGAGGCGCTGCTCTGATCAACGTAATGGCAGGTCTGCACCGCTCAGAGCAGCTGTGCTCAACATTTTGGCTCCTCGAGTTGGATGAGTGTCCCGGAGCCCTGCGCATAAGGATCAGGACCCTCCCGTCTCACTTCTGCATGCCAGGTTTGGGCCCCAACACCACCCCTGCCTGCTGGGTTTGGGCCCTGGGGGGACCTGGCCCACCCCTTCCCTCTGGCACTGCCCCCTCCCACTCCCACAAGCCAGAATTGGGGCCTGTGGGCCTGGTGCTGCCCTGTCCCAGCCCCCTACATCAGGCCTGACCCCGAGTGCTAGGATCGGGCATCCAGTCCAGGGCTCCTCGTGGATCTGGACATTCAGCAGCAGGGGAGCGGTGCCTCTGCTCCCTTGTTGCCAAATTTCCGGAGCTGTGCAGGCCAGATGTGGTGTGCAGCCGGGGTCAAGCGCTTCTGGTGTAGAGGGATGCCAGCCAGCTCAAAAGTAGTAAAGCTGTGTTAGCGTGGTGGGAAACAGGGCTAATTAGCTCAGTGGAGAGCTGTGCACGCTGTATCATCTCCTTGCCAGCTTGCTCGGGTCTCTGTGAAGTCTTCAGAACAGTTTGCACAGGAAGGTGGAACCAAATGTCGCTGTCCCTTTTTTCCCCTCTCTCGCTCCCGCTTCTCAGCAAGGGGCCTTAACGCTGCCTCCTCCTCAGGCAATCAGGGCTCATGGTAGAGGTGATCTCTTTTATGAGACCAACAAGATTTTTGCAAAAAAAATGTTGTTTAATTGCAAGCTTTCGGGCACAAACCTCCTTCATCAGGCATCGGAGAAAAGATTGCAGAAGTTCTCCTGGGCAGACGTGAAAGTGCATATTCTATAGAATTTCACAGAGGAGTCGATTGCTGGAAAACTCCTCCTCCGGGCAGCAGTTTTTAGCTGGTAAGGAGCCTCTCACCTCCTGTGAGGATCTGTGCTGATGCAAATGACCTTGAAACAAAGACAGAAGCAGGATCTCAGGTTTCAGGCGGTCCAAGTTGCTTCCTCCTTGGGAAAATATGAAGATTTCATTTAAAAAACTGGCTCAAATTCGATATCTTCCATGTGTCAAGTATCCAGGTTGTAGCCGTATCGGTCTAGAGGAAAAGGCAATCGGGGCCCATGGTAGAGGTGATCTTTTTTATAGATATAGATATCTTTTATAGAGCTATCACCAAAGGCAATCAGGGCTCATGGTAGAGGTGATCTCTTTCATAGGTATAGATATCTTTTATAGGAGATATCTCTAAAAGAGATCACCTCTCCCATGAGCCCCGATTGCCTTTTCCTCTAGACCAACACGGCTACAACCTGCATACCTGCCTCCTCCTCAGTAAACTCAAACCATTTCCTACCTAGGCGCGCAGGCAGCTGAGAGCTGAGGGTCCGTCCGGTAATTTGACTGCAGGAGCTATCAGATCTGCTTTTCCGCGACTCCACTTTCAGCAGGCTAATTACCTCCTTTCAGGCAGTGCAAGAGCAGCGACGCGTTCAACAGATCCCGATTCAGGCCCTGACTTGGGGAGCTGCACCGATGGCTGCAGTAGAGGAGCTGGGGCTTTGTTCGAGTGGCTCAGCGGTAACCCGCAGCTCCAAGCTCTGCTGTGGCCCACTTGTTTCAGCAGTAAGGACAGTACTTTGCAGGCAGCACGCAGCTCTTTTAGGGCAGGGGGGAGCTCAGTTGTTCAGGTTAATGGGTTCATCCATGTAGCGGAAGGTGAGTGCTTCACCTGGGCCGGTTGGCACCATTATCCTCCGTTACGGTTGGGATTACCAAGGACAAGGCAAAGTGGTCTAGTTCCCAGCCCCGTGACTGGGACACTGGAACGTGCTCACACCTCCCTGGGTTTACGGTGAAAGGAAGTGGTGTTGTGTTACACGTCTCCACTGGAGCGCGGTGCCGGCGAAGATGCTTGCAGCAGGGGCGTGGGTGCTGCCACGATGGGGCCTTTTGCAGTCATTATCTCCTACCTCCTACTCCTTGTCACCCCACAGCCACTGCTCCAAACACGAACACAAGGTGCATAAATGGCTTGCTGGAAACTGAGGCCAGCAGTGTCCCGTCCAGGAGCAGCTGTCGAGACCAGGAGGAGCAGGCCATGTGCTATCCAGGCCTGGTAAAGCCTCCTCTGAAACAGGGAGATGCTAATCAGATCCTGCCTGCGTTACTGAATAGACCCAACATGTGACGTCCGGGGTTAGCCCCTTGGATGCTGTGTCGTGGGGGACCGTACAATCCACTCAGCATCTTCGGCTTTTTCTTCTGAATAGTTGGTCTCCTCTTTCAGGCATTGTTTTTACTGCCCCTTCGGACAGTCTGAGGCGAGGTCCAGAAAGGAGGACGGTGCTTAGAGTCAGGTCCAGAACAAGGCTGAGCAGACAGGCTCTGTTCCCAGCTCTGCCAAAGAAATGTTTGTGACCCTGGGCGAGTCTTGGGGACTGAATGCTCCAGGGGTGCTGAGCCACTGCGTGTCCCATTGAAACCAACAGGCATCATAGTATTATAGAGAAGTAGGGCCAGAAGGGACCTCCAAGGGTGCTGGATATGCAGCCCTCAGTCTGAGGCTGCCTGGTCCATGCGAAAGGAAGGATAATGTCTGATTTACAGGGCAGGAGTGGTTAGCACCTTGTTTGCAAAGGGCTTCACGATCCTCTGATGGAAGAAGAGAAGGCAACGCAGAGCAGATCCTTCTGCTGCCGAGGCTCAGCCAGGATAGTGCCAGGTGGATATAGCTCGTCAGGGCTATACACGTGTTGCGCTGTGCTCTCTGATCTCGGCAGGGTTCGTCTCCACGTGCCCACCCCACTGTCAGGGCAGCTTGGTACCCATGCTAGCAGCATCAGATTTGGGGATGCTGTTCTCAGGACAGCCGGGGCATTGCCCTCCAGCTACGGGGCCAGAAGTCAGCACCTGCTCTGGGGCAGAGGGCTTCAACCTCCAGGACTCTGACTGAATTGGGCTGCACCGGGGAAGGGAAAGAAAATACAGCTGTGGTCTCTCCTCACTGATCTCCTTGTTCTCTAGTATTTTACAGTACATAAATCAGCGGAAGAAGCACAGAGACCGCTGGGTCGGGGCTCTGGCCTCCACCACCGTCCCGCGTGAGTAGGGAGCCAGTCCCTTTGGTTTATTAGGTTGGGAGAACTTCTCGCACGGGGTCTCCAAGACAGGGACCAGCCTCTCGCTCTGACCTTCCCCCGGTCAGACAGGGGCATGGGGATTTTGGTCCCTTGTGACACAAAAAAATCTATTCGCTTCCCCCAGCCGCAGTGGCTGGAAGTTGAAGTTGGACAAATCTGGCCTCGAAATGGGGTGGAGGGTGACAACCATGGGAAGAATTGACTGCTGTCGGTGGAGTCTCTGTCACTGGGGATTATTCAGTGCTGTTGAGCTCATCCTAAAAGAGATGCCCTAGCTCAAGCAGGAGCTGATTTGGAGAACTCCTGTGGTCTGGGCTGTCCAGGAGATTAGGCTAAATGGTGACAATGATGCCCTACGAGTCTTGTAATTAGCTTCCCAGGTGCCAGCTTCCAGCAGGAGGATCTGGGCTACACGCCGACTTTATGGAAATGGGGGACCCCTTCCCTAGCTTGCTCCTGTGGCCTTTGGTTAAGGGCAAGTGAGATGCGAGGGTATCCAAACCTCAAAGCCTCTGGGCTTGCACGTAGGATGCCCGCAAATGAATTTGGGAATATCTAATTTGGGAGGATACTTGCTGGCTGTAGCGCCACATATGGTGTTTGAACAATTGAGTGTTGCTCAGTCGAGAGGATTCAGGACTGCTTTGGCTCATTTGACCTGGAATATGAAAAGTTTTCCAAAAACTCTCCTGAACTTACTCCATGAATACAGATGAGGCCATGCAAGGTTCCTCATCCCCGTAGAGTTTGTTCTCCCCCTTGCACAGCTACGGCGTGCATGCCTACTCCTCTAACCACACTGGTCCAGGGTATTTCCAGCTTGTCAGAGCAGACAGGGCTGGAGTGGCCCAGCTTCTTCGGAGCGGAGGTTCCCCTGCTAGTGTCCGCTCAGCCTGTATGTTCCAGTGCGACAGGTGCAGTCACAACCCCTCCATTTTCAAAGACCTTGCCGCACTGATGCCCGTGTCTGTGCACCAGGTGCTTCTGCCCCGTTCACCACACAAGATGAACTGCCCGCTTCAGGCTTGTCTGACGCACCAGGCCCTTTCGAGGTCACAAATGCTCTACCCTCCACCAGCTGCTGGCTTACTCAGGCAGGTAAAGATAATGGGTCAGGAACATCCTGGTGGATAAAGCTGTGTCTGTGCTTCTTTCTTGCAGTGCATTTAATCTACGGGCCCCTGGATCCTGTGAATCCGTATCCAGAGTTTCTGCAGCTTTACAAGTAAGTTGTCGCCATGTACTGGGCAGAGCTAAGGATCGATTTTGGTGCAGGGGCTGCTGTGTTCAGCCCCGAGTTTTGATTTCCATCTTGCCCTTGGTCTTTCCTCCTCACTTCACATGGTTAGAAATCAATGGCTACACCCTCATGAATGACAGTCGTGTAGATGCCCAAGCGTGCTCTGCCTCTTTGTTGCCATCCCCCTTTTGAAAGCCACGCAGCTTTGCTTCTCCTTAGATCAGCGGCTCTCAACCTTTTTTAGACTCCCGGCACCTTCATGAGCTTTGATTGAGGTGAACAGGTGTGTAGCAGGATTCGCAGATTGGAGGAATCTGATGGGCCATGGCATGAAAACTTGTGCTGTGGTGACAGGACACAAGAAGAAAAAAAGGAGACCCCTCAGACAACCCCTCTTAGTTTTCACTCATTTTTTGAGTACAGAAAAACAAGAGAGCAATTCTTCTGTTGCAAAGAACACAGCAAGACCCCAACGGGACGGACTGGTTTTATTACTCTGGATTCCTCTTTGAAATCTCCAGGTTCACCTTGTGAATCCTGTCTGTGTGCCTCCCAGTGCTCCCTGCGGTACCCTTGAAAAAATCTCAAGGTACCCGGTTGAGAATCGCTGATTTAAATTCATAGCAAGGCACGTGATTTCTGAAGGGTCACCACTGCCAAGCACTGAACGTGCTGTCAAACAGAGCTGGAAGTCTCTTCCCACTGACTGAATTTAGTATGGGGTAAAAGTCTCCAGGTCAGAGAGGAGAGTCGCAGAGCTGTTTTGAAGGCAATCCCTGGAACGTGGAAGTGATCTGATGGGTTAGTTTTGTCCCAGCCCTTGCTGCTAGCGATCCCATCAGCTGAAGGAACTGCTGTTTGCCAGTCAGATCAGACAAAACTTGAGGCTCTTGCTCTATTTAAAAGGGTCAGTTAAGCACCCTCACTGCGGGCACTGTGACACATCATGCATTTTTAATCTCCCAGCTTTGACAGCCAACATCAAGTCAGGTCCGCTTCCAGCTTCTACAGCATCACGTTACAGATGCTCGGTACAAAACAGCTCTCCACTGGAACACACAGTTGCCCCACCTGCACAAAACCATTTATTTTGAACCAAATAAGCAGTGGCTCAAGGTTCAGCCATCTCAGGACTCCTTTTTACTGCCGTTTCACTTCAGCAGTGAGGGATGTAATCTAGGTACACCTGAAGATTTGGCCTTTTGCCAGCTATTGCATTGGATCATGCTCATGTAAAAGCACACAGCCTCCCTGGATCAGGGTAGGATGGCCAGCCTAGCAGGAATAGCACTTTGGTTAAAAATGGCCACTGTATCACAAGACCCCTCGTCATAGATGAGGCATCTACCCTCTCCTGGCAGCCTAAGCTGCCTATGCCACATACCCCAGTTCCCGTGCTTAATGTTTGTTGCATTCTTCCAACAGGAAGGTGCTTCCTATGTCCACGGTCTCAGTTCTCGATGACCACATTAGCCACTATCCACAGCTTGAGGATCCTACAGGCTTCCTGAACGCATACTTGAACTTCATTAACTCCTTCTGAGCACCAGCAAACTCTGGCTCAGGTCTGCTCTCCATTTCTGAACCAGGCAGTGGTGGAGCAGATGCAGACTTTGTTTCCAGATCGGGCGCTTTAAGGCTTTTGGATCAGGCCGCGACATCCATGTTTACATCTGAACCTTCTGAATGTGGGGAGGACAAGCTAGCAGGATGGATGCTGTCTGCCTTCCTACGCATACCCAACCCATTTCCTATCCTGACAGAGCAGCTGGGCACCAGGAAGTGAGAATGGGGTTGTATAGGGGGGCAACATCTCTCAAGTTGCTCTGGGAGTCTTTACCCGTCTTACCCCCAGAAGATGCTGCAGGAAAAGTAGCTCTTCATTGGAAACCACGCACCAAATAGCTTGTTTCCAAATCCTAGCCACGCGTCTTTTCTCCTCCATGCGTGCATCAAACTGAGCTGTTGCACAGACAAGGTTGAAACAACTTGTCTGTGTTGTTTTAAAGTGTTACTAACCCTGAGTGTCAGGATTTAAAATACATGAAAGCAATCTAAGGGCTTATCAACACTGAGTGTCCTTCCCTCGTTGAAGCAGCAAACCCCTCAGTCCCTAGACAGTTAAATTGCTGCGGCTGGCAGGTCAGTGTAGACCTGCCCCAAGGCAGCACCTTGGCTTCTTGCCATGCACCCAGTTTTGCTAATTTTCAGTGCCATCAGGCAGTAATGAAGAGGCCTGCTCTAACCCATGCTGGCCTACAAGAGGTCCATATGCTCTGCTTTAGCACAGTTGAAGCATCAGCCTGAAGCACAAAGGGGTGTGGGCTCTTTCCTAGCTTTACTTTCAGCTAACTTGAATTGCTAACAACAACTGCAGGACTGGCAACAGCATCACCAGCGAGTTCTTCTGGGCAGCTGCTACTTAAAAATCACAGGTTTGCTACTTAACCCATTTTCCTAGCAGGGGCTGGGAGAAATGACCGAGAGCTTCATTCACCCTGGTTAGGTAAGCAATTCCACTTTGATTCTGCAAACCGCACGTAAAGTGCTTCCTGTGCCAATGAACAACTCTTAAGCCCAGCTCATGAGGAAAAAAACCCCAACAACTGGCCCCTGACAACTGCACGAAGGACATCAGTGTCTGTTTTTAAGAGGCAGGGCATTTAACTAGGGAGCACCAATGCTTTGCTTTAGGCTTATGCGTGAGAGGGGTAATTCATAACCCAATTTAACCTTAATGAGGCATTTAAATCTCTAGGCTTTACCTGGTTTTGGTCCAAAATGCATGCTGTATGTTGGAGGCAAGAATTCTTGCGGGTGATATTTTTTAATCGAACTAACTGCATGGTTAGGCAACACAGGGAGTGTGTACACATTCAAGTCATAAAATCAGAGGACCAGAAGGGACCTGCAAGATCACCGAGTCATGGGCAGGAGGTTATTGGGCTCAAAATGATCTAGGAGAATTCTTCCAGGTTTGTTCTCTTGGTAGAAAAAAAAAAAAAAAAAAAAAAGGTTACCCATAACCACAGGTAGACATTTGAATGCTGAAGCTCAGCAAGCATGCCCTGCAGGCTCCCTTAGTCTTCCTGATGACAGATGGCAGCAATGCAGAGATTATCTGCCCCAGACTGCCCATGGTCAACTTGTGTTATTAGCATGTACAGACATTTGTTCTCTTAAGAGAAAGGCTCCTGGAAGTAATTTAACCCTGGGGTTGATCCCAGGTTATTTTTCTCCTGGAGTGGTCATTTTCATTCTGGGAGACAAAACTTGGACATGTTTCTCTTGGGACAGTTATGATTTTCCCCAAGAGAAACTGCATGTCTGCAGGAGACCTCAGGCAAGCTTGTGGGCATCACAGTACCCTTTCCTCAGGCCTCTGGGAGATAACACCCACAAGAATCGCTGCCTCTCATATTTCCTGGACCACCATGGCAACACCATCACCTCAACACTACCAAAATATTCTGTACGTTGGTCTTTTTCCACAGAAACGGGGGTGGGGGAGGAAAGACTCATTAAGTTGATTCTAAAGCTGCCTCAAGAGCTATCGCTTTGTGAAATTGCTGGGATCTTCAAATACCCTTCAATAACAAGAGTTTCCTGTTGAATGATGGGGTGTACGTTTGTTGGGCTGCTTTTCCCGTTCTGAACTGAGGTTTATCACAAGCTCAACCGAGCTTCTGGAGTTCTCTTATCCCAGGACTGAGAAAAGCTAGAGCAACAGGCATGGATTAGAGAGTGTGCACTACTACTGTGGTAGTGTAGAGACTTTATTTTACTAGGAGCAGTTTGAATCAGGAATCCCACAACTGTGAACTGGAAGAATCCATGTTTATTTTCTGTTATTAAAAATCTCTTTTGACAAAAGTCAGACTCATTGGTTTTTATCCTCTACCAGGTGGAGAAACTTCCCCATTCTCTACAAGAGAGGCAATAAGTTAGGCAGGAATGTATCGTGACCAGAGAAGGGAGGAGAGAGAGAGAGAAGCCGGTATTAACCGGCCAATGCCACTGTTACTGTAACATACAAAATATTTACCAAATTGAGGAGTAAAAACTACATGCAGAAGGAGACAGGTGTTTGAGGCACCAGTGTGGGGCCCGCTGGTGGAGTCCCAGCCACAGGAACTAAGTGTTGCACTTGACAGCCTATCACGGACTTAGCCAACAGAGGCCAAGATTACATCAACAGGCGTTTCCTCTTTGCTCCTGACAGTCACCTGCATGGTCACACCATCTCCAAGGGCGAGCCTGGACCTCACCAGGATATCATGGCCTCCTCTGTACACACCTGGGGATAAAATTATAGAGTAATACTAGAGCAGCTCAATCAGCGATTTGGAGCCTGGAAACCTGACTGCCGTGCATTCACAACCTGGCTAATGGAGGAGCCAACTGAAGTTTTAGGTCACCTCTGGAACAAGTGGTTGACAGGTAGCAACAACATCCAGATGGATGCTGTTCTAACAGACTGCTAGGACAGACCGAGGGTGCCCGACTTAGGTTAGAAACCAACCAGCCAAAGCTAACGGCCTTTCCGTGAAAAAGTGAATCTCCTTCCTTTTATGCTCCATGAGCAGAGCTACTCGGAGCTCCATGCCATAGGCAAGAGAGGACGGAAAGAGGAGCCTGGAGGGGCTCCGCCCAGTGGCCCTTTGTGACGCTAAGCTAAACTAAATGGCTCAAAGACAATGGACAGCCAGGTCCATAGAGGTAAGGCCTCCAAGCGCTGGCTTAGACTGCTCCAGACCTTTCTGAAATGGATGCATAGACTCACAGGGCTGGAAACGACATCTAGGAGGGCATCTAGTCCAGTCTCCCAATCATCTAGTCCGTAGGCAGACAATCATCTAGACAAACATCTAGTCCATATGCAGACACTTGTGGGAATCTCTATCCAACTCCAGCAGATGTACAATCTGGCCTGCAGGTTTAATATTCTAATCTACCATTAGCTTCAGTGCAATTTTGCACAATATAGCCAATAGCAGAGTAAGAGGGCATAAGAGCTTTCTAGAGTCCTTCCAACTTCAGGGATTCCCAAGAAATGTGGAGTGCAGCCAAGTACAACAGCAGCTCTCAGTTCCTGGGACATCAGGATGGACTTTGGTGAGCAGGAAGAGTGAACTAGGAAGTGCCCCGATGCATTGTGGCCTCAGACTCACAGTGGGCAGAGAACTCAATCTACAGGGCACCTAATCCACAGGTTAGTCTCTTTAATACCCAATGGAAAGAGCAGTGTTGGAAAAGGCATGTGCCAAACAGTATCCCTCGAAGGCAACAGGTCCCTCGTCCGTCAGATGGATCTTGCCTTTCTATAGAAGGGTCTCAGAAAACAGTTCTGTGCCCTACTGGAGCATTAACTGCCAGGACAAGTCTGCATTGCAGGGGGCGCATCATTAGTTCCTCAATAGGAGGACGAAGCAGGGAGTGAGGGAAGCATGGAAACATGAAGCCCACTGGGGGCAGTACTTACCGGCAAGATAGAGCGTGTGGGCATTCTTGTTCTCTGGCACTTTGTCCGACCTCTCGCAGGGCTGCATGCCCAGGAACTTGACGATGTTATTGACAGCTTCTGTAGTCAAAGATTGAAGGAGACTGTTATTTGCACCCGGTCTCTGCTTACAGGAACCCTGGCACTGAAGTGGAACACTTCTAGTTCACCGGACCTTCTCCAATCACCATGCAGCCAGCACATTGTGCTACCTGGGTGAGACCTCTCTGCAGTCTCCCCACCTAACAGTGCCTCTTCTGCCAGGGGCAGCTTAAGACTATAACCCTCCCCAGTCTGCTGCTGTTAGTGGTTTCTTGTTGCTCCCAAGCCCGACATTAGCGCATTAAACCCTGCTGCTGGATCACTGAGATACTAGCCTCTACCAGACACCAGAAGACTCCCACCAAGCAGGGCAACCATTGCAGCTGGGTCACCAACCTATTAGAGCAGGGGGGCTGTCTCACCGTCTAAGGTTTTAATTGAGCTGAGAGCAAAGGTTTCCTCCTTCTCAAAGTCATCTCCCACTTCCTCCCAGGCGGCAGCAAAGTTGGGCTTCAGGACCTTTTGAATGTGATCGGACACTGTCACCTCCAGGTCTTCCAGCTGGGAGAGAAACAAGGGAGGTGTTCGGCTGTGCACGGTTACACTGCAAGGCGACGATTCTTTGCAAGGGGAAAAGTTGGGCAACAGCTCTGCCTAGAATTATTTCTGATACAACCCCAGTGGGCCTGGCTCTCTCTCTCAGGACTGCCCACTAACACAGGCCCTAGATAATAGAGGGGCAGCCCCACTGGTGGCCACTAGTGAGGCTTAAGACTGTTAAACAATTACTTCAGGGAGGCAAGAGTGCATTGGTAGAGGGGACATCCAGCAAGCAGGTACCAAGGCAGCTCAGGGAGAGGCGAACGTGCCTAGACTTACTCTGGAGGGTCACTTCCAAGCAGCCTTCAGGCCGCCATGGTCGTGAAGGAGTTTAGGCCGTGCCCAGAAGTGTAATAGGCACGTTGCTGAGGCCATGGAGAGCTAATCCAGGGCCCAGACATGCCGGGAGAGAACAGAAATGCGCAGGGGCAGGAGGAAGGCTGGCAGAGGGTCACGCAGAGAAGACTAAGTTGAGTCTCCGTCCAGCTTCTGCACTCTAGCACCAAAGGCTGTTTGCTTTCGGCAGAAGCGGGAGGTTTGGAAAGGGATCGGAATAAGATGAGGGGCTGAAAGCTGGAGCAGTCTGGGGATGGAAACAAAGGAGAGTGTGAAGTAAAGGAGACGGCCAGCTGGCTTGGGCAGCTGTGCTCACAACCCCCAAGTGACGGGCAAAACACCCAGGCTCTACAACAGACGTACCACGTATTCGTCATCGTAGCCGTCATCTTCTGGGACCCTCGTGTTCGGGTCGCAGTCACGGACTGTGAACTTCATCGTGCAACTGAAAGTACAAGCAACTGGTGGAGGGAGAGGGAAGGGAGAGCACGTCAGAGCGTGGGGAACACAGCGTCCTCCACCCAGGCCGAATACTGGAGCCCAACGAGGGACTAGGAATGGCGGTATACCTGGCCCATCCCCAAGCTACAGGCACAGCACAGCCTGACTGTTACACTCAGTTTAAGGTCAGGGGAGGCTCCCGGATTAGTGATATGCAGAAGCGAAAGCACATGGGAGCCAATGATGCTTAATACTTTGGAGCTAGGTCAAAGTAGAGTCAAGAGCTGTTGGAAATCAGACAGACTGAACCAGAGACATGGGCCCTTACTCAGGGATTCAGGCTAACTGTAGTAATCTCCAGTGACAATCAGGCCCCAGCCTTGAACATTCAGGTGAAACCAAATCCAGCCTCAGTGGGGTTTTCACTAAGTGCAAAGGCAAGACTAGTCCCCTTCTCTGCTGGGAGGGAATTCTCTCATTCCCCAGATTCACAGAGATTTTAACCCTGTGGCTGAGGGGGGACAGCTACCATAGAAGAGCTACCCTGCTTTTACGCTGGGGCCCATCTTGCTGGCATCTCAGTTATGCGGGGTCTGCTCCTGTATGTCATTTCACCAAGTGCCCGTACATCCAACGTGCAGCTCTGATAAGCTCCTGGCAACAAACCCTTTTCTCCTGGGTTGACTCCAGATTCCTTTAATTGTCTTTCTTTTTCAATCATCCACTGGAGTGATAGCCAGGTCAAAAGTGCGCATATATCGACTAAAGCTCAGTCCTACACAAACGCTAAGCAGACTGGCTACTTGAATGAGAAAAGTAGCAGAATCTGACATGCAGGGTACACAGTAAATGAGCACAATGTGAACAGATCAACTGAGTTTAGATGACGGATTGTATCGGATGGTTTGGATAGGGCTGATCCTGCCTCAGGCAGGGGAGCTGCTGGAGGTCCCTTCCAGCCCTGCTTCCCTAGGAGTCGAATGAAATCTCGCCAGGGATCGATTCAGAATTCGTTCGAGGGGCTGACATAAGCGAAACGTCCTTCCTTCTCAATTGGT